CCTGGAGGGAAATTTGGCTTCAGTTTCATTTTCTTGTTTTGAGGGCACCGTTACTCAGTGGAATGCAACATACCTAAGAACTTCAAAGCTCCAGGATCAGCCAGAGGAAAATGAGAAGGTCTGGCATACCATTCCTGAGGTTTTTTATGACCCTCATTGCTACTAGGAATGCCTTACAGCTGCTGCCTGCATGCTGGTCTTTGAGGGGACAACCAGAGCAAGCTCGCTTAGCTCATGGGGTTTTTGCCCAGTTTTGGTGTGAGGACACTGGCTGATGGTGAGGAGGCCTTTCATGGTCCCTCACAGCCCATGGACAACACTGGGGGCCAGTGACTTGCCAGCACAGGCTCCAGTACTTACTCATGCTGCTTTTGACAGGTACCAAATCCATAGTGCAAGAGGTATTTGATGTAACTAATGAGCCTGTGGGAATGGGGTTTTCCCCTCAACCCTGCAGTAATTCCAAGTATTTGCTCTTTTCAAGTCAAAGCTATCTGAGAGCCCAAGGCTGAAGAAATATTTTGCACAACTGCTCAGTGACCCGAATTCCTGAGCTGGGCCCTGCCTGGCCTCCCCTCCAGAGCTAATGACCCTCTCAGCCACGGCAGGACCTGGATCTCAACCAGAGATGAGTTGGCTTCACCACAGCTGTCATCTCCAATGCTTCAAGGCTGTCTCACCCAATCTGACCCCTTGAAGTGTGTCAGACTCACCTCTCCAGACCTCTTGGAGGCACCTGCTCTCAGCTCAGTGCTGCTCACATCACACTGTTAGTGGGAAGCAAGGGATCAATTTTATTCCTTTACCACAAACCCCAGAGTGGGTCCCCGGAGAAGAAATAAAGAGTGTTATCCCTGGGTCACAGCTCTGCAGCCAACTCAGCCCTCACCCTCACAGCCACTGTACAAGATCAGCACCAGCTTTTCCCCAACTCTGATTTTTTCATTTTCTCCCCAAACCTTTTGATCAGCCCCTCCAACACAGAAGCTTTTTACCACCTGTGCGAAGCTCTGCATGGATGGCACCGATTCTCCCTTTTCCTTTCCCACTTTCAAGCCCTGCAGCCGAGTGGGACAGCAGAGCAGGCAGCTCACCCACATTCACCCTGGGGTGAGCCAAAATCCCTCCCCAGCCCCTTGTGCTGTGGCACAGGCATCTGCAGCTGCCCTGCACTGGGGGAGAGGGCAGGGACAGCCGGCGGCATCGCGCCCACGTCAGCCGTGCTCGGCCAAGAGCAAGGAGCTATTTCTGGAGAGCTGCTTCTCGTGGAGCAGAAGCGGCAGAACTCAGAAGCACTGACCGAAAAAGAAAAGCCCTGGTGTTTCGAACGGGAAGCGAGGTTTCCCAGCCTCCCGCCGGGAAGGATGGGCGACATCCTTGCAAAAAGAAGAGAGGACTGTAGCGCTCTGTGGCAGCAGGGCTCCAGAGGAGCTCAAAGGCTACTTCAGTAAGACCGTAAACACGCCAGATCTGCTGTTGTTGCACAGCTCCGTGAAATCGGTGATGTCTGAGTGCAGTTCAGCTGGAGAGCGCTGGTGCTATAAAAAACAAAGTGACTTTGGGCTTTGACGCTTCCTCCTGACACACAAAAAGGTGATTTGTGATTCAAAAGACAAGGAATTTATCATCAAAAGGAGCTGGGACAGAGCTCAGTGTTTACACATGGAAGAACAAGACAGGCACCAAGTGCAGATATATTTATACTCATCCATTAATAAAAGAAGCCAAGTCAACCATACCTTTGTGCTAAAGTTAGAGCACAGCACTCTGCATGTCCTTAAAAAGGCAAGAAAGTTTCCACAAACTAGGACAGCTGCTCCCAGTGCCGGCTCTGTGCATCTCCTCCTTGGCACTCCGGCTTCAGTGTGCTGCAGCAGGAAAGGGGCCAAACGCAGCAAGGCTTCTCCAAGTGGGAAGGCTGACTCCTAGAGTCTGGTCACAGGCTGGTGGCCACTGCATGTCAGGAGCCAAACTGTGCCTGCTGCACCATCAGAGACCTGCAGATGACTGCCTCTTGGCTGAAACAAAAATTCTCCAGTTTCAGCTCCAGTATTCTCATTGCTTCCCTGGTTATGGGGCTCACACAAGCCAGGACCTTTCTCCTCTGCCACAGGTGACATGAGGGAATGCTGGGCTTGGCACACTCGGGCTGGCCCTGTGGGCAAGGACTTGGTTTGCTGCCTCTGCCAACCAGCAAAGAGAAGAGGAGCAGCACCCAAAGGTTGCAGGTTTGGGCCGAAGGGTCAGTGCAAGCCCAAAGTGAACAGAAAGCACCCACGACAGAAGATGGCCCATCTCCAGTGAGGTCAGGAATAGGGCTGGATGGTGCAAATCACTGGAAGCTCCTGGATTAGTATTTGGCACTCAGAAATGCTTTAGAAATCACTAATTGCAGCAAGTTCTTTAACCCACAGCTACGGCTGGAGTTGCCTGGCCTCACCTGCCGTGTGCTGGGGAATGTTACACCAATTGGCAGGAAAGACATGGAAAAGTCAGCTCTCTGTTCCTTGGGAGGTGCTTCTAGAAAGCAATCAATTATCCTTCCTGACAAATAACAGATGAGCTCTCACAGTTGTTTTCCTGTTTCCTTTCTCTTCCCCCACCCAGTTCCAGCCCTTGAACCATGCTGGAAGCAGCAGGAGCCAGCACTGGACATGGTATGCCAGAAATGATTGCTTTTCAGGCAAACTGAGAGCAGTGACAAAAAATATATCTTGTCTGAATCAAAGTTAAGCACATTGCAGTTTTTCTTCTCCACACCCCAGTGAAACAGCTGCAAGCAACAACCAAGCCTGGCTGCTGCACAGGAAAGGAAACAGCTGAGGGCACACAGCAGAGCGGGGTCACCTCTCACCTCCCAGGACATGCTGAAGTTGTTGGCACTGCAGAATGAATTTCCCCTCTGAGCTCACACTGAAGATGCTACAGTTCCATGAACTTGACTGACCTTTGAGCAAGACATGGCACTAGATGGCCTACACAGATCTTTTCCAACTCAAATTATTCAACAACTTTGCACTTTTCTACATAAAGACAGAAAGAGGGCATGCAAATAACTCTTCCTCCCACACCAGCTGCTAAGCTAAACTCTCCTATCAAAAAGATGCTCAGGCTGCCATCTCTGAGCCAGTATAGTGAATAGAAGTCCAGCGGCAAAATCCCAACTAAGTCAGCTTTGCTACTGGCACAGGGATGAGGACTTCTTCCTGAGCTTTTGGGTCAAATCTCCTGATGCAGCTTGTCAGTACCAGCCTAAGATGCAGCCTTAGTCACACTAACCTCACCCTTGAGCTCGCTTGCAAACTCAGTTTGAATTCATAAATCATTTCAATGTGATCCAAATGCTTTCCAGCAAACATTAGCATTTATTGACTCCATCCCACCATGCAGCAGGCAGGCACAGCCATGTGGCACCAAGACTCTTGCAAGATTCTTGCTCGGCTAGTGGAGCCTGGGCTGACACCAAGCCCTGTGGCATGGAGCCCAGGCCCAGGTTATTGCCAAACCCTCCCCCCGGGTCCTTCCTGATGAGAGTGGCAGTGTCACTCTCAGGTGATGCCACATACGCACACAGGATCAAGCACCATGGCTTGTAATCAGCTGTGACTAGTGTGATTTGACTACTGCTTATTACACTAATTTACAGTTTATAGAAAGGGGGGATGTATTAAATCAGCAGTTTGCAGTGCATTCAAAGAACCTCTGCTTCCTTTGGGTCGGCTCTACTTTGGAAAAAGCACATTGAGCAATGCTGAGTATTACAACACTTTTACTGACTAATTAGTGAATTCTAGTATCAGCCATTTTACAGCTTTGCCTTGAAACGAGGGTAGACTGGAAGACCTAGAGCTCCTTTGGTGTGCCTCTGGAGCCTGCCTCTGCAATACCTTTCTCCCAGCACAGCAGAGTTTTCTTTTCAAGACCTTTCCCAGTTCCACTGATGCAGAATCCCTTAACCAGCTTTTCTTCAACAATTATTCAGCCCTGATTTCCAAGCATCTAATTTTAGCAGTCACTGTTGAACATCCTCTTGAGTTATTGTTAGAATGAAATGAGGATCATCTGACAGGAACATATCCTTGGTAAATACTGGGATGGAATGCTTAAGGAGCTAGCACACCTTTCTGCATCATAATCAACAATCCTACTGCCCAGGGACACACCTTATCCCACCCTTTTTGTTCCTGGTACCTTGCATTTCCAAAAGCAATTACAGCACCAGCCTCAACTGTACTAGGCATATTTGGCTGTATCATTTTGCTCAGTTATTGTTTCAATAATCGCTTCCAATTAGCCACAGGAATTTATTATTTGCTATTTTTAGGATCTTTTCAGTTTAAAAGGCACCTGATTAAACAGATGTATATTTGCATGACATCTTTCACTGGAGGATTTTTAAGTACTACATAGAACGTGAATGAATTTCTGCTTGTCTGCAGCAATACTCCTTTTACAGGCAGGACAACAGGGGCAGTGATTAAAAGATGTGTCCAAACTCCCAGAGGAAATTTACACTGACACAGGAACCCCAGCTTCCAGCTGTGTGCGTTAACTATTAAACCTGTGCTAACACAGACACAGCAAGGTTGGCCACACAGGCACTAAAGGAGATGCTGATACTTAATTTCAAATGGTCGTCTCTCCTTCCACACTAATAGGCTCAAACACCAACTAGGCTTGGAGAGAAAAGAAAAAAACAAAAAAACCCAAAAGGCTTCTTATCAAATACCAAACAATTGGCCCTTTTCTACTAATAAGCAGCAATAAGAAAGAATGGCAGGGAAAGGTGTGGATTTTCTGAGAGGTTAGTATAGGAACAGATGGGGCTGGGATTTTGTCAGTGTGAGTTGCCAAGGCTTCACCCTTTATCACTGTTAAGAAGATCCAATCTCCCAGCTTCACACCAGCTTCTCTCCTTTGTGTTTTACCTGCCAGGGTGATGCACCAGCGAAATTCATCCAGATGTGCTGAAAAACAGACAACACAGGGGAGCCAGCAGATTGGTGTTTCTCTCTTTTATTTAAAAACAGTGCTTCATTACCATTTGCAAAGGGTTAGGAAGGGTTTCCCCCCTTGCTTAGAGTTTATAAAAGCCAGCAACATGATCAATAATTTATACACATGGATAGTAATACAAAAAAAAGGAATAAAAGCTAAAGATCTAACTACTCCAACCTTCACAATTCCAGCTACTTGATAATAATAGGAATAACCCAATGAATACTGTATGGTCTGAAAGCTACTATACAATATGATACTTAACGAGGGAGGGCGGGAAGTTAAAGGCTGTCACAAAGCCCTGGGATGCAGATACTGCTTCTCCAGAGTCAGCAGGGAAATGGGACCCTGGGCAAGCGGCTCGGGCGTCCTAGGAAATGATCCAGGGGAAGGGAACACATCCCACTCAGGACACGTCCTGTTCCCCGGCGGTACCTGGCAATGGGAGGTGCTGGGGAGACTGCGAGAAGGGGCAAGTCTGTCGCTGCCATTGGAGGTGCTGTGGCATCTCAGCCTCGCACTGGAAATCTCCAAGTCTCAAAGAGATCAGCCTGTGAGGTCAGTAAAATACTCCACCAGCTCCGTATCACTCTACAGCCCTGGTTCTCATTTGTTATCAGCCCCAGGTTTTAGCTCCAGCGATTTACAAGCAGGATTTATCATATTTTTTTTAAAAAACAAAAACAAAACAAAACCAAAAACCAAACAAAGCCTAACAACACCCCTCCCAAAAAAACAACAACAAAAAAAAGAAAACAAAACCAAATCATATCCCCTGGGGTAAAAGAGGATGATTTCGTCACTTGATAATGCAGCCAAATTGAGCTGCCAAAATTACAACACTCGCACACACAAAATACTGTGAACAGAAAAAAATAGAAAAACATGACCAGAACTGAGACTAATGTGGGAGGCCTGATTTCTGTAAGGAATTTACTTCTCAGGGAAGCAACAAGCCCCTCCACCAGCAGAGAACTGGGAATCTGGCAAGAGATTTATTGACCCACTTCAGAACATCAACAAAAATTTTAAAAGAAAAACATTCAAAGATTAACGGGCATTTTGCTGACTCTGACTGCCAGCCAAATTACTATCTCAGTGGACGGCTTTAGACACCAGCAATCTCCTGGTGAAATCAGGCAAGGTTTTTGGCTGATGCATTCCTGCTCTACCATGACTTGAGAGGCAGCATGGGAAGCTGGTCTCCCACACAAGCCTGGGCCAGCTGCAGCCCGTGGCCCTAAGAGGACAACCACACGCAGCACTGGCAGCCCCAGCAAGAAGCTGTCTTCCAGGGTCAGCAGCGGCAACAGAGATGGGACTTGGCCATCCCGAGTCCCGTTTAGGCTGCCATTGATGCAGGCACTGCAGAGGGACAGGGGCTCTCCTGACAACTCCTGGCTGGAGCAAAGCACACCAGGAAGAAACCCCACAGCCTCCTTGCAAAGGGCCCCATTTCACGCTCTGGCTATCAGACTCCTGCTTGCCTCGTTGACTGGAGTTTTCATTGTAGAAGAGAAGTTTACTGGGGTTGGAGGGCAGAGAGGGCAATCAGTAAGGTGAGGATGGAGGGAACGGGCTTTTCAGACATTAACATCACCAAAAATAGTGTTTTATGCAACAAAGAATCAAGTCTCACTGGTGTATACTACAAAATGTTTGACATTATCCAAGAGCATGTCAAAATTAAAAACACAAAGAAGTTTACATTGGATGTTCATCTTGTTCACTAGGTTGGTTCCCCCCCCTATTTTAAAACAGTGCAAACAGGTAAAACACTTTAAAAATTACCCCTCTACACCAAGGACAGCATTCCCCCACCCTGCCAGGCTGGAGGGTCACAAACAGCAGGCCCTCTGCCAGGCTGCCTGTGTGCTTTCCCTTTGGAGCTAGACTCAGCAAAAGCATCCCCAGAGCTGTTGTTTGGGTTTCCCTTTATTAAATTCCTAAGTGCTCCCCAAACCTGTTTTCCACTTGCCTCCATCTTCGTGGCTACGATGGGAAAATACAGATAGGGAAGGGCTGGGGAAAAACATGGGTAGAACTGGGAGGCTCTGCTTTGTATTCCCCACTGATGGAGCTCTGGGTGCTGAAATTGAAAGCCCAGCAGCCAGTGTCTCTTTTCAGGCAGGGAAAAGGCTTCATTAACCGTTCCACAACCAGCACTTGGGTCCGCTACTCAGAAAACCCTCCTCAGCTCTTGCTGTACACTTCACATCCATGGATCTCAAAACAGGTAAGAACAGGGGATAAAATTCACTTTAGGGACAGGGAAGCGAAGTCTAATGTAGTGACACGACTGCCCCACAAGAACCCTAGAGGGGTCACTGACAGAGCCCTGTCCGAAACACGTCTCAGACTCCAGAGCCAGTGCTCCTCGCCGGGCAGGTCTGCTCCCTCTCAGGCACTGGAACAGCCAAGCCACAGCTATCTTTAAACATGGCTTTGTCTATCGGAACTCATGACACAGGATCCACCTAACTGCTTAACCTGGGAAAAGCTGGCTATAGTAGGCTCATACTGAGCTCCCCATTGCCTCCAGGTCTTGGCATGGCTTTTCGTAGAAAAGCTAACCCACCTACAACAGTGCAGCCTCCCACACATGGGGACCAGGACAACAGTTTGCCAACATGCTGGGCATCAATATAACTTATTCCCAGTAGAGAATATGCTATACCAGTAGAAGTTACTTTATACCAGCATAACTGTAATTGCAAGGAAATACAGACCAGCACATTAAATAAACCAACTCTTCAAACCAAAATTCCATCTGTATATCATCATGTGCTGGGTAGACCTATAACAAGACAGTACAAACAGCTACACTTAAAAGATACTTTTTTTTCTCTGCATCAAGGGGAATCCCAGATGCCACCAGATTAGAAGGTGACAAACAGCAAGCTATTTGCCAGGCTGCCTGTGCGGTTTCCCTCAGAAAGCCAAACCCTGCTTTGCAAGGGACCTGTAACTGCAGACCCATCACACGGACAAGCACTAGCTGCCATCATTCTAATAAGCCAGGGCCCAGTTCAATTTATTAAACGTAATTCATTTTGCATAGGGAGATATAGGCTTTGTCCTCACTTCTTCCGAAGATGGATACAGCCACACCTTGGCTATTGTGAAAGCATCTCTATCCAGTTCAGAACACATCAGAGTGAAACTGGAGCTGTTGTTTGCCAACAGGGAAGAAAGGCTGAAGAGCTCTCCTGTCACGGCACAACACTCACTCAAGAAACCTTGCCATGCAAGTTTTTGGGAAGTCTGGTGCTTTGGACACCTGGAACCAGTGAGCTACCTCTGGCCTCCAGCCATGCAAGTGTCCCGGTGTCCTCTCAATGCTAAGAGCAGGAAGCTGGGCTATCAGCAAGCTCCCTCAGAGGATCTTGCAGCATTAACTATGGAGCCATAGAGACACCAGCTGCTTAATGCACCAGAGGAGCCCAGCAGGGAGGGACCAGAGCAGGCCAGGCTCGGATACAGGAGGAATCAGGCTGGATGCTCTTAGAACAGGTATTACTCGGAGATCGGGGGACCACGGCCCCCAAAGGTTGGGTGCTTCTGCACTAAACCCCTCACATTCCTAATATACTTGGGCGGGCTGAAGCTGCCATGCATAGACTCTGCCAGGAGGCAGAAAGGGGCTGGCCTCCCTACTCCCAGGGAGGCCAAGTGGCAGGGAGGGATTGCAAGTGGCACTGCCAGGGCGGGAGAGGGCACTCACTGAGGGAGAACCTGGCTTTTGGGGAGCCGCAGTCAGAACCAGCTGAACTGAATGTGGGAGAGGGGCAGTGGGGGAGCAGCTGCCCCAGCAGGGCTCTGCAGAGGCTCCTGGGCTCACAGCCTGAGGAAATGCCTGCAGGAAGGGACCACCTCACTCAGGCCCTCCATCTACAGTGGGGAGAACAAGTCCAGTAGAGGCTTTTGCTGCATCCCAGCTCCACAAGTCCCCTGGCTGCTCTGCAGTGGAAATAATTCCCCTTGAATATGACTATCTCTACCGCAAGTCCTCCCCCTTCTACCCCAACTCAGGCAGTAAAAGCCCCCAAACACCCCAGGTCTCTCTCATTTCCTAGATTTTGTGAAAGCCCCAACACCCTGTTCTCCCCCTCCCTATTTTCAAGCTAAAATATTTATATACAAACAACAAAAAAATTGTCATAACAGCAACAAACCAAACTTTGGCTTGGGAAAAAAAAAAGTAAAAAACAACAATAAAACCAGGAAAAAAAAAAGGCGGCCAACAGGCTGGCAGTTTGGTGTCCCCTTTATCTAGTTATTCCTCCAGAAAATCAATAGCTTCAGGGTATCTAGCTTAACTAATAGTGTCCCCATTCTTCCCATTTGGGGTGCCTCCACTCTGCTGTGCACAGAGAGGCTCCATGTATCACTGGGGAAGAGCAAAAAATGTGTGGTTATGCGTAGCTGGACCAGACATCTCCCCAGGAGCAGGACCTCTGCTTGCTGACGTTGCTTAGTGTTAAACGCAGGAATTTTCCTATTCTGTATCAGCAGCGGATGGAAAAGCAGGTGTTCAACAGGAGATGGAGAGGCTCCACCAACAAATCATACTCTAAACTGCCCTTCTGAGGGCAGTGGCTCACCCCAGCACCAATCCATGGAGTAGAGGCAGCCTGGTACAATTACACTTCTGCATCTCTCCAATGCAATTACAGCCTGCCTCTGACCACTGGGACTACTGGGAGCGCTCTAGGAGCCAGCAGCAGAACAGAGAGGTCTGGAGAGCAGCAACTCTGCATCACATCACAGCTCACAGTCATCTAAGTGTGCCGTCTTTGAAACACAGCAAATTCTCTGTCTGTGAGAGCAAAAGGGAGATGGTCTTGGGAGTTGCGGAGCCCTCAGCTAAATAAGTTTATATTTTTCCAAGTCTTCTAATATGTAGTGTCTATATGGATTCAGCAGACCAGGTGCACAACTTCTTGTGAGAAGCTAGGCAAAACAAATCCAGGGGCTCCAATGCAGCTATGGAAGGGCCTGAAATAGCTTGTGGTAGGAAGGTTCCTATGAATTCAGAGCTTGCACGAACTGCTTCTGCCAGGTACAAAACTACTTCAGGATCACATTTAGATAGAAAAGATCCTCTTCCCCCACACAAACCCACATGCTTGTCCCTCACCTCAAGCAGCTTTATGCATGACCGGTTTTTCCTCACTCACGTTATTTGAAATAGATTACTTGCAGAAGCACCTAAGCAGCCCAGGATGAACAGGAGCAGAGCCCTTGCACACTGTGCCTCAGAGCGTGTGCCATGCTCGACTCTTCTGCTCGCTTTCTTCCCCTGCAAGGCTGCAGGTGCTTCACCTCCTCAAGTTTAATCACTTGCCATCCGCAACAGAGGTGCTCTGCACGATCCTGCACTGCATCTGCTACTCCTTGAGGAACGAAGGGGAGGAAAGGGACAGCAAGAGACAAAGATCTTCAAAAGGAGGAATGAAAACTATGCCAATTACAGCCCCTGAAGCAGACAAAAATCAGCGAGTAAAAGTTCTGTGTGTGAGGAAAAAGATCATCCTCATCAAAAACTCCTTTCAAAGTCTTGTCCCCTATAGAACAGGTAACAGCTGAAGTCTTTGGGCAGGTTGAGGGACTCTTCTCTTGCGAAGTCTAAACTTCTGACACTGCTGAAACTGTCACAAACCTGTGCACGTCAGATGGTGATAGAAACAAGGAAAGTCTCTGCATTTCCCCCATTTCCAAACGTAAATGACTATTTCCCACCAGCATTCAGGTCCCAGCTACAGCCAAAGAGTGCTTCCTTCTGCAGACCAGAAACACGGCAGGTGGAGACTTCTCCCTCACGTCCTCCTGTCTCACAGGCACCAAGCACCAGACCCAGGGAAGTAACTCTGTCTGCGTGTTCCTGATTAATTGCATGATATCAGTTTCTAACAGCTTTCCTTATCACTAATCGCCTTTTCCGTGATTGGTAGGATAAGCTATGCACCAACATACAGACACGGAAATGCATTATTTTTACCACAGTTAAAAAAACCCCAAAAATAAAATCAAAAAACAAACAAACAACAACAAAAAAAGAGCACGATCTTTGGAACAAAAGAATTAAAGGCAGAAATTTAAAGGAAAAAAAATACATATTCAAAGAACATAGTGAGGTATAAAAAAGTATTTTCTCTTTTGTGTTTTTTTTTTTCCTCCTCGACTTGCTATAGAGTTCCTCTACTAGTAAATATTGCAATAGCCAGGCCTCATGAACTGGGGGGGCTGTCCCACTTGCAGGGGGCTCACGTCACTTCAGTAGGGGGCGAATCGGCTGTAGCCACCTCGGTATAAACTCGCCTGTAGAAATGAAATGGGAGAAGAAAAGGTTGTTAGGAAGAGAACTCTGAAGAGATACCTAGGACAGCACCCAAATGCTTCTGGAAGGACCTGTCCTGGCACTGACCCACCACCATCAGCACCTCTAAGAAGCAAGAGAGAACTCTGCCTGCAAAACCAAAGATGTGGCTCAGGAGGGCATGCTCATGGCCAGCCAGCTGGAGGTGAAGTTTGGCAAGTCTTGGTGGAAGGGAATTCAGTACCAGAGAGGGGACTCACCAGTCCTAATCTCAAGCCAGTTGTCCAGGCTGCCTTTATAGACTGCGGAGACCAGGACTTCTAGGATGCTCTTCACCTCACCTCAAGGTAAAGGTCTAAAATAGATATGATGACTGGGTATCCTAGAATTACCTGTTTTCCCCTCATTGACCCTAAAGAGAATCCACATGACGAGCTGAGGTTGAAATGGAGGTGCTACAGATCTACAGATATCTATTTTTAGGCGTCTTTTTCTCTGAGCACATTTGTATTCCAGCCTTTGCAACAACACAGATACTGAGCTGGCTAGCAGATGGGCAAGCATGTGTTTTCAGCAAGCTGCTCCACTCCCCTCCGATGCCAGCATATCTCATCCTGCCCTTGTGTAACTACTGCTGGCAAGCAGGACAACGCATCCTTCCACTAGTGCAAGAGGGAACCAAGTAAAGCAGCTTTGATGCAAGATGTCACAAGAACAATTTATTCCCTTGCTTCCTAGAACTGAAAATGGCAAGAAAGGGTACCCTGAATCTCCAACTATTGCTGATTTTTGCTCTATATATTACCTCAATACAGTTCTACTGATTCACCAACAGTGTTCTGGCTCCTGGCAATTCTGTTTGCTTTTTATTTTCATTTTTCATTGTACTAGATGATGTGCAAGACCAAGTAATAACTGGTCTCCTACAGTCTGGTTCCTTTCTTAGTGCACACATAGATGTGAATGCAGAACAACTGGGAACCCAACACTGCAGCTAAAGACCTCCTCCCTCAACAAAGAAGTTTTTCTGGGTGAGGTTTCATTGCATGATACCCAGTGGCTGTTCCCCATGCTGGAAATGAGAAACAGCACAAGAAAGAAAATCCCACTTACCACAGCGCCAACTCCGTAGCTAGCGGCAGGGGCAAGGGCATGGTAAGGATCTGCTGTGTACACCCTGCCATAACTGAAGAGAGGGAGAAAAAGATATAAAAAGAAAAAAAAGTCACTTGGGTGGGGCAGAGAAATAGCTGTCTGACCACAGGTAATGGAAGCAGCAGCATGCCCTCGCACACACATGTATGCATCCATGCACACACAGGCACGCAGGCAGCTCCTCTGCAGAGAGATCCTATGGGCATGCTGCCATGCATTGTATGAGATGGGCGAGAGAACGGCGTGCCAGGACCAATGTGGCACAGACCATGAGCCTGACCTGCAGGAAAGAGGTCAGCACCTTTGAAATGTCAGCTAGTGCATCCCTTACCTTTGGGTAATTGCATGATGCAATTAGGGAGGAGAATGACTGCTGGCACTAGTGCGACTGGCACAGTAACAGCTGCTAAATGGAAAGCAGTGAGGGATTCTCCACTATGAGAGGAATATAAACGTCAATGTGCCAGGATTAAAACATGGCCTCACTGCACAGGCAATGAAAAAATCTTAAGGCAAGCACTCTGATGAAGACAATCCTTCGTATCTATTCAGAGCTGCATGTTAAAGCATCCTAGAGCACTGCATAAGCTGAGTCATTCTTACTTTATGATGGGGAAACAAACACACCCAGTGAGTAAGTAACCTGCCCAAAGCCAGATCTCTGACTTTGAGGCTATAACCACACTGCCTGCTTTGTGCAGAGGAGAATCACAAGGATAGGGAAGAGGCCAGAATTTGTGCCAGCTCACATACACTGAAGGCAACACTTTCCAGGAGCAGACAAACCGTGCATTCAAGTCTTCTGTGCTGGGTGGTGCATGCATGCGTGCGCATGCGAGTGCAGGTAAGACAAAGAAATGGGGGAAAGAAGCAGAACTTCTGTGATGGATCAATGCTCCTTGAATCCCTGAGCACAGCAAGCTAGCCCCCATGGACACCTCTCCCTTACATACCCATCGCTGTAAGCTGCTGCAGCGGCTGCAGCGGCCGTGGCTGCTGTTGCAGTAGCAGGCTGTGCATATCTGTAGGCTGCATATCCACCCTGCAGGAGAGAAGAGAACTGACTTTACAGATACCTGTCCACCCATGCAGAGCATAAAAAAAAAAATTTAAGAAGTCACACACATAACAAGGAGAGGAAGCGTTTCAAACTGCATCAGCTCCCATGTCATGTCTATCGCAAGCATTACCCATTAAGTCATGTATATTTCTTTCCTTACAGGACCAGGGAGGCCCTTCCATCACCCTCTTTAGCAAAAGGAATGCACTAAAGGAAGACTGAGCATTGTTACAACCCCACAGAAGATGCAATTTGGCATGGAGGAAATGGAAACCAGGAAAAACCTGGAATCTTGCATGCAAGGTAATTTTTATGGCCTCTTCCTCCTAAGGAGGGGAATCAGAGGTCGACACTTTCTATGAAGTATTTTAGAAAGGAGACCATTCAGAAAAATTCCTACTTTTTTTTTTACCCTCTCTCTTTTACAGCCAGGAAAACCCAAAGTTCTAGAATTTAATTGGGTCCACAAGTGCAAAAGTATCAATAGCCAGAGAAGGTGAAAAGCAATTAGGAAAAGACGGTCAGAGAAGACAGTCTCTGGTGGTTTCAGAGCTGTCAACAAGCAAACCAATATTAAGGCCAACCAGACTGTTCTCCTCTCCTCTCCATGTAAGAAGAAAACAGGTCAAGGGAAATTATGCCAGAACAGTCTGTTCTGCTGCTGTATTTCTGCCCATGCTACACACCTGTAGCAAAGGCAATCGGAGGTAGTTACTAAAAACGTACTTAACAGTTGTATTGTCAAAATGTGGATTCTGACTCAGAGAAGACCTGCGAGTCTCCTCCTGGAACTCCCTCAAGGAGCTCTTGGAGCAGAGCAAGGCCTGCAGTACTGGAAGACCAAGGCCAGGGATGAAGGTGGCACAGCAGGCAGCAAAGGGGGCTCTGAAGCCCTGGTTAGATCTTTATTGTATTTCTTAACACAATTTTTTAAACTTAAGGGTGAAGGCTTGGTGAAGGAACCATAGTTTTGACTTTCTAGAAACACAATGAGCCATTAAAAAAATCAGAAAATTCCAGATAGCTTCTGGATTTTTTTTTCTTTCAATTGACATTTCAGGGTTTTAAGGACCAGAAGACAGAGTTATGCTCTTCACCTCCAGAATCAGCTCAACATACCTCTACCAGTTCTTCCCTATATATCTTTTGCATACACGTAACTGAAAGTACAAGATCAGCTCCACTACAGAGCTGTGTCTTTGCTCAACAGTGCTCAATTTGGACCTGGGTAGCTTTTAAATTAGAAGTAATGACTTTAAATTAATATTGGGATTTTTTTAATGTGGCCTGCATTAGCCCTGTGAAGGCAAACGTGCATCCAAAACAAGTTTGCAGAGCCTTTCCTATTCCAGAGAAAAGGGACTTGCAGCCTCCTCAATCTTCTAGTTAACGGGAGAAAAAGCAACAGAGATCTGTCTGTGAAACATCATGACATGGCCTGGGAACGTTACTATTTAGCCCTTTGAATCTCACCTGGCTGTTTCAAATCCTGCATTTTGGACTGAAGGTTTGGGCATGTTTAGCTTGGTTTTGCCATGCTATCATTGCACCACCATGTAAAACATGACAGAGGCAAAAAGAATGAGGTGCAGCCTTAATCCAAATCACATTAACCTCACCAAATTAACACAAAACTTGGTATCAATGCAATTATAGTATTCCCCTTAGGCTATGAGATTCCTGAACCCTTGGTGTGTCACTTGGGCACAATGTAGGAGGCATTTTCTCCAGGCGCTGCCCTGTGGAGGGCAGCCGGCCTCTTGATGCACCCTTGATTCCCACTCTGCCCCACACTTTGCCAGTCACATTTCAGACCAGAAGCCACTTCTAACGTGCCTGGCACATACTCTGAACATGACAGCAAGATGCAGTTTGAAACCAAAAATGCTTATCATATAATTCTCTTTTAACTCATGTCTCTCATAAAGGAAAACAAAACAGAACCAAAACAGAACAAAATAAAAAAACCCAAAAAAACACAAAAAGAAAGAAGAAGAAAAGAAGGGTTGGAATCAGGTGTGGGAGGGGGAATGAAGTAACATTTATTAATCAAAATTAAAAACTAAGCATGCTGACATCTGGAGCTAGAACAACCAGCAAAGTCACCACGTTCAGACTCATATTGGCTAGTTCTATCTATCCCAGCATTCTCTTGGGACAGCAGTTCGCCCTAGGCTCTACCACAAGCTCAGTGAAGTACACAGCCTCAAGTACTAGAGCGTGCAGCCACAACAACCTGCTATTACAGAAACAGTCAGTCACCACTGGAGTTAACATTCCAACCTTAACGACTCCCGAAGCACCCCGCCCTCGCCCCCCAGAATGGCTCCCACCCTAGCCCTGTCCCACACCACAATGTTAATAATTATAACAAGCAATAACCCATCTGTTATATCAGAGAAGGGAACAGAGACTCCACTGAGAGATTTAGAGCGGGATGTTAACATTTCTTCAGTCAACTGCACAACAAACAAACAAAACAAAAAAAAAAAAAAACAACAAAAAAACAGGAGAAATAATTCATTGGAGAAATGAAGTTAAGAAATAGCTGACGTGTATTGCTTTTTAACCATGCACTGATGCAAAATTGAAGCTACTGGTTATTTAAAAAAGGAAAATAATAAAAAAAATCTCACTATAGAGGTACACACGTACAGGCAGACCTGCTCATTTCAAAGCAATCTGCAAAGTCTACTTATGTGTACTTCAAATAAAACCAAAAATGGGGATCATAATGGCCATGGTGCATTCCTGTCATAGGAGCAATGAGCGTGGACAGCTGGGAGATTTCTGACACGGGGATGTATTTAGCATGACCAGCAGGTCCAAATACACCAAAATAGGGTGAAGGAAAGAGGAAGAACTGTTGCAACTATACTTTATATTTTCATAAATCCTTTCACCAAGCTTTGGGAACATACAGGGTAGACACTGTATAGGTTGCCTTACCCAGCTGATGCTCCTGTTCTCCATAACCCAGGATCCACCTATATAATTCAATAAATGCATCTAAAACCTGTTCAGCTTGTCCAATGCACCAGATATTTTCTCCTGCTATTCCTGTTCACACAAAACTTGTAACTGATATGCAGAGCTCATCCACAAGCTCAGCTGCAGGGTCCTAGTGATATCTGGTGCCACTCACATCAAGTACTCCAGTAAATACAAAATATAACAGCATAGAGCATCTGCAACCACAGCAACAAAGAGGAAAAAATGTATTTCCAAATGAAAGAAATAATTTATTAAAAAAAAAAAAAAGAAAAAAAAGAAAAAAAGAAAAAAAGGCCCCGACAAGCTTCAACACATTCCTTCAGTGCCACAGCCAAACTGCAACAGAAGAAACCACTGAGTGGCATAGTGCCTGAAATTCAGGACAGCCATGCAAACTCCCACTCCACCTATTTGGTTCCACATGGACAGATTACCCATACAGATCCAGTTTTTTAAAATTCTTTAGTCTCATTTCAAAAGAAGTAAATGTGGCTGAGCTTCTTGCAAAGATGTTATGTCAGAGATGTTTCTATCAATGGAACAGTTTAATTACTGTCTCCATAAGGAAATGGGAACTAGTGAGAAGGCTTATGCATTTTTACTGGGCATTAAAAACAACCAAAAGAAGTGTAAATCAAGATTAGGCCTTTTTGGTACAGGCTTTTGGATTGTCTGGGGAGCATGTGAGAAAAATGAACACCAGCCTAAATTCTGCTAATCTTTCTTTTCTCTGTCAATCCGGCCTTCCAGTCATGGTGGGCTATGCTGGATCCCTTTCCCCGTGTACTGTTTGAGCCTAAAGACCTGAGCTGTCAAACAGCTGCTCTGCTTAGGTATGAACAAAAGCCCAAATTTAAAATTACACTTCTGTGATGTTACTGTCCTTGGCTCATCAACAAAGCAATATTTTATTTTAAATTCCTTCTTTGACATTAGATGGCAGCTTTTTCAGTATTGTCTTACATTTTCTGAAATAAGACAAACATGGAAAAACAACATATATAGGAAGCTGCGACTCCTACTAAAGCAGCATTCCAATTACTGAGCCTGTTAATGAAAACAGATTATCATTTTATAAAGTTCAGCTCAAGTACATCTTTTCCATTCTTCAAATCCGTATCAGGTGATCAAGCCAACGAGCAAGAGGAAATCCAAAAATACAGCTTACTATGCCAGTGTGGTATAAACCTCCCTTTTCTTTTTCCCTTCCTGCCTTAGAAGGGCACACAAAGTATGTCACTGCCCTCTTTACTCCAAAGATCCTTTCTGCCCCTAGGACACAAGTGTGTCCAAAACCCCGGAAAAATGTGTAACTCGTGGTACCAGTTAGGTACATATTATTGCTTGCCAGGTTTAGGCAGCAAGCCCAATTTTAGGATCTTTTATTTGTCATCTCTCAGATGTGTCTTCTCCACCCCCATACTTCCATATAACAGAAGTTAAGCAGAAAGGGCTAGAACTGCTTCTGGTATTTCTGTATTAGAAGGGTGGCATACGTGCACCAGGAATGAGCATGAATGAATTAGAAGAGGTGACAGGACAACGGTGTCCATTGCAGCAGGTGCTTCTACATGGTAATGGGACAAGCATGACCTTGTTAACCCTTCCACTGAATTAAAGTTTTGTTGGTTTTTAGTTTTTTGTTGGTTTTTGTTTGGTTTTTTTATTTTGAGTGAAACGCCACTTGGTATGAAATCTGGACACACGCCACCCTGCTACAGCAGGGGCTTGGCTCACACATGAGTCTGCGCTGCTCTAAAAAAGCCTCTGTTCCCATCTCTAATGTGGTGCTGGAATGGTTAGTATAATTCAGTTTTTTCCACTGCAATCCACAATCTGATTGGTTGGCAGGTCACACTGGCACTCCTACCTGAGGTATTTTAGCGCTAATGATTGGTTCCTGTAAGACTATTCTATAACAGAACACAGGAAGAGCAGTTCAAAAAAACACAGCTGTGGAAAGAAACAATCATACAAACAGCCCACAGCGGGGCTCACCAGCCTTTTCTTTCCAGTGGATGCAAGCACGCTTTTCACAGGCAGGAGCAGTCTTCACATGGGTGGGTTTGTTTGGGTTTCCCCCCCCACCACCCAGATTGACCCCATTGTAGAAGAAAGATAACCTTTCTTATGATCCGAAATGAAGCCCTCTGCATCCTGGGCCAGGTTGTTTTATCAATTCAGGTGTCTTGCCAGAGTGGGACGCATCCAACAACAGATGGAATGCCTTCTTCACAGAAGAAATGGCTAGCAGGATGGTTGCCCCAGGAAAGAAAAAAGGAGTGAGGAAAAGGAGGAGGAGGAAAATGAGAAATTGGTGCATAGCATATATGCAGAAAAAGCAGCCCAAACTTGGGACACTTCCCTTTCATCTTGCCTACCGTTAACCACTCCCTGCCAGCTCAGCTGCCTTCCACAATCCTATGGACTCTTAAGAGACTCTTAAGTCTTAAGAGAACCTCCATTTAATTTCCCCCAGTCCTAAGTATCCTCTGCCATACCTTCCAGAATCTCCGTAAACCCTACCACAGCAACTGGAGGGATGGAAGCACTGCAGTGAAAAGCACAAAAAAATCACTGAGACACAGGGACACTGAAGTCATTCCACCCGTGCCACAGAAATTATTGGGAAGGGCAACTTCAGGTTTGGATAATGGTAACTTTTTCCTGAGCTCCATTGGAGGGCTCTGGCCAGCAATAACATAGGAAAAAGCACCACCATCTACTTCAATGCAGTCCTCTCTTCTATCATCCTGCTTTCTGACAGTGACACCACTGCCACCAACAGCAAAGTCATCAGAAATCCACCTAATGGCTCTAACCTGGCCTGGGGGCTCAGCTTTGTGTTACATGGTGGTACTGCTCAGCAGCACCAAGTGGTTATGGGTATTCTTCACTGCTGCAGTTTCTGTCCTTACATGTTATATAAGCCTCTCCTCCCCAACAAAAGCTCTGAAGGAGCTTTCTCAAAAAGAAATAGGGAGTAACCCCGGCCAGTCTTCCCTTTCAAAATGGCAGTCTCTTATATGCCACACTCTGTGGGAAGAGGCACTAAGCACCATTCATTTTCTTGGTTACTTGCCATGACCAAGTCAGTGTCTATAAAGGTAGTGTTTTAGGAGTGAGGCAGGAAAACGCAGAACCTTCTGTAGTCCTTGACACAGCTTTATAAAGAAACACTTGACTAGGCAGATCAATCTTTAAAGGACTGCACGCACGACAGTACATGGAAGAGTGGAAAAATGCATGCAGTTCTCTCTCAGAGAGCACATCTTCCAACTGCTGTACTCGGGCTGTAAAAAGCACCTGTCCAGAACTTGATCCTCCATATAAGACAACAGAATCCAAAAGCTAGCTCCATCCATTATCCTGAGTCTAACCCCAAGGTCCTCTTTAAAAATGTCAGGAATAGCACCTTCAAAGGAGCGAGAATGTTAAATTCGTGCTGGCAATTGTGCCACTACCCAAACTATACAAACCTTCCCAGCTCCAGAGAGCTATGACCTACAATACCACTATTGGGAAGTCTGATAAAGCCAGGCAGGCCACGAGTTGCAGTGGCAGTTGTGGCCCTGAACATTTTTGCTTTGAAAGGCAAGTTCCTGCTCTGCAGCAGCTCTCCCTTGGAGGGGAAAGCACTTTTCTTGCTGGCCAGTTCAAGTATCTCCATCCACAACCCACCTATGTACACACAGACACCCTGGAGATTTGCAGTACAGACCGACTGGGCAGGACAAAGACAATGACAGGACAAGGTCTCCCGTGGTATCACAGCTAATTCCCAAACAGGAGAAGGCTGCTGACTCTTGTAGCCGAACATCTCCACGTATTTGTACTTTACAATTCCCTGAAGAGGCGAGAGAATCTAGCCTATTTAGGTGCCATTCCTTCCAGCAAAATGAGATGTCAGATTTCACTCTAACATCTCAGCCTCCATTTTTAATCAGTCCCAGTGTCTCCCCCAAAGGGATAATCTCCACATCCCAGTGGCACATGAACACTTTTAAACATACAACTTGTTCAGTGTCGTGTGGGCTGCACAAATCAAACCTGAAAGGGCCCCAAGAGGGAAGAGAAAGGGGAGGGAAGAGGGGGAGAAGGAAAGGGAAGGTCTGAGGCTAAACCAGTCCTGTTATTTTTATATCCAAATTATGTAAATGAGAGAAGTGTTGAGAGAAATTTTAATTTGCTAATCATCTCTCAGGTTGATTAGTACCAGTGTGCATGTGGGGGACAGGACACCCAGTAAACTGACCCTGGCAATGATCAGGAAACCCAAAGGCTTAGGTCTTGCACCCAGGGGCAAGCGCAGTGACAGAGAAGCATGCTTGCATTCCTAAATATATAAATATATATATCCACAAGGAAGAAGAAAATTAAAGTAAATGATATTTTAAAAACCAAACCAAACCAAACGAACAAACCAAAAGAAAAAGAAAACAAAACAAAAAAAGGCTGGCTTGTCAGGGGTTGGGGACAAGAAGGCTCCGGTGTGTGTACTTACATAGAGGTCAGCACCGTAAAATCCGTCCTGGTAAACCACACTGCAGAAAATCCACACAAAAACAAAACAAACAAAAAAACAAACGAAAAAAAAAAAAACAAACAAAAAACAAAAGAACAGAAAACACATTCCGGTTATTGAGGACGGCAGCATGCACATGCGTTTTACACAGGCAGGTGATGTATGAATCCACAACCTGGGCTTTTGGCAGGAGCAAATCAGCAAGAGAATGTGTGTGTGCACGCACGGCTCCAAGTCATCTTCCATGGCATGCAAAGGGGGAAGGGGTGGGCAGAGGGGGAGACAGTATGCGAAGGAGAGAGGGAGGGGAACCACCATCTTGTACAGTAAATATTGACTCAAAAAGATCTGACGTCCTGAAGAGAGACACAAGGGTTTAGAAACCTCCACTCTGGTTATTCTCCTGGAATGATTTTAGTTACCCCCTAAAACACATGGAAACATTGGCTTCATGAAGTGGCCTTGTGAAATTGAGGAGCCCCTTACAGAAGGCATCCCACAGGGGCTGGAGTCACCTATGTCAGGAAGTGTGGTTCAGAGACTTGTGCCTGATTGCATTTTTCAGGCTTCACAGGGCTGCATGACTTTTGTTTCTGACATCCATACATCACCTGCTTTTACCCTGCACATTAGACATGCGATAAGATTTGGCTGATCACACAAGCATGCAAAGTATTATTATTCAGCATCTTAAAGAACCGATGCAACACCTCAGGAAAACAAGTCAATCAATTCTGATCAAAGTAAACACAGAGAAATGTAATTGAAAAGAAAAAACCAAAAATACCCACAATGCATTGCTTTCACAAGCAGAGATAATGAGCTAAAAAGGTTAGGTGACTGATCCAAGATCCGAAAATTGAGAGGTGCAGTGGGAGTCCCTGGTAGTAATGACTTATTCCATAGCAGAGAGGAGCAACTGGAAGGGTTTCCATGGGATGGTGCTTTTTCTGCTTTAAGCCATAGTTTTGTTTCTCTCAGAACTTCAAGCACAAAAACTGTTAAACAGAGCCTGGGGTTCCCAAATAGCTGCTCTTACCAGAGCATTCACTAGCATAAGACTACACAGCTCACTCTGGGGATGAGGACTGGGGAAGGATGAGGAAGGAAGAGAGGGGACGCCCCCCACCCATTTGAGTTCAGTGTCTGCTTCACATTCTGAGGAATCTTCTCCAGCTTTGTCCTCTGAAGAGCTCCACACAAACTCACTCAAGGCTTTAAAAAGCATTAACCCCAACATCTGTAAAGTTTATGGATCTGATGTGCATGACTTACCCATAGCATTAAGGAAAAAGAAGGTATGGAACACTAGCTATTCTTTTGACTATTATTTTTTACTCATCAGCTAGAATATGAAATGCTGCCAAGAACCTGCCACCCTCAGACACCCACCTATTGTAAGGCACACACACACAAAAAAAGCCCAGCAGATCTTGCCAAAATTCTGCATGCTATTACTAAAAAAATAAAACAAAAAAAAAATTTGCAGTGTTAGCTACTGCTTGGATAATTTAGTCTTGCTGCCTTCCCCAGGAAAAGTACACTCCATTCCCAATGGACAAAGTTACTGTAGTCTCCAAGAGCGCTGGGAGCAGGTATGAAGATAGAGACCCTTGTTAGAGGAAGAGGGGAGCCACTTCAGCAGGGAGAAGCAGGCCATAAGATCATGTTTGTTGAAGCTAAATTTTTACAACCACATAACAAAGAGTTTGGCTCCTGGGGCAGTGACTTACATTGCTGGGTTCTCTATCTAGGACCAGAAGTGTTTTAGCAGTGATACTCCACCTGCTCCTGCAGGAAAGGCAAATGCACGACAGAGGAAGTGACTTGGTTTATGAACAGGTTAGCAGTTTTAACAGTTATTCCAAACACAATCAGTTGGATGAACATAAGCATTACCACATTGGATCAGGCCACTATTTCTGTCAGCAAGAGATCATCAGCTCTCCAGAGAAAACTGCAAGGAACACTAGTAACAGGTAAGAGTAAGACTTCCTGGATCTAAACACCCAAACACATGTGAATCCTCCATCTCTCCTTCAGTTAGGATTTGACTGACATGAACTTCCAAGGCTGACATTTAGAAGGTTTATTTATAGGGTAGAATATCCACATTTGTGATTCTCAATGCTAGCAAGACTGAGAGAATTCCTTCATCTCAGAACCACATTCTGGCTATGTAGCTTGACCAGAAGTATAAAACAATCTGGCAGCCAGTCAAATCTTGGTGCAATCTGTAAAAAGCCTACTAGCTAAGCTAAATACAATCTAGGGAAAAGGAAATAGGCTGGTTTTGTAAAGTAGCCAGCATATCATTTAGGTGTACCAACAGTTGACTGTGTTGTAAAAGGAACGAAAAAAATACTTCAAACCCTCAAAGCTCTCTGCTGTCCTGTATGTAGTCTTCTGTCCACTTTGGATTCAAATTAGTGAATCTCATATATATTTACACTCCTAGACGAAATTATTCTTTACTATGGCAAGTCTATTCCTCACATAGGTATTTAATGACCATGCACAAGTCAATGACTAACCTATAGTTTGAGAAATAAAATTTATCAAGCTTATTTAGCTTTGAGAGTTTTACAGTAGAGAGGCTTGTTTTGCTTATTTAGCTTTCAGAGTTTTTCAGACTGTCTAGATTCTTACAGCTTTTGCTCTGAAGTGTTATTTGTTAGCACTTTCATTTAAAAAGCGTGGTTGCTACAAATCAGGACAATATTCCAGTACAGTTTTTACTCATGCTATATATCAGAGGCTATAATGTCACCTTATTTCTACCAAGTAGCACCTCACTTAAAACTGAAGGTTGCAATAGTGTTCAAAGTCAGGTTTAGGTGTCTATCTAACATCACCTCCAGCAGTCTAAGCAGTTGCTTTCTGAGTTATTGAAAACCTCCTCTGGATAAACAACCATGGGCATACATAAGTATGGGCATTCCACATATGCATTAGCAAACCTTGAGTTCTTGAAATAAATATTAAAATTATTAAGAACTATGATTTCTTGCACCTTCCTCTGGTTTAGCACCTGACACTGTCAAAACTTATTCTAACCTAGATGGTGCTCAGGTCTGATCCAGTATGGCAATACCAACGAGCTTTTATTAATCTACATTTTGTGTTTTTAAAATTCTGCTAATGCAGTGATACCATTAAGCTTTGTAACTTAAAACTTAAACACCACTGAAGTTTGTGAAAACGAATTCCTTCTATCACGTTTGAGTTAACCTGCAGCTTACTTTACTGTCTTCTTCCACATTACTCACTATGTCTTGGTCATTCATGTTGCTGACTGATCTTATGGTGTCATCTTTCCACTGGCCAGGAAGAAAGTAACCGATGGAGGGCAAGGTGTCAGGAAGGTGTGCCTGTCCCTGACACCATGGAGGTCAACAGTGCCCACATGGAGTGGCGGCTGTCCTACAGGTTACTGCAACATGGAATTGAATAGCACATTTTGTATTATTCCACTAGGAATCAAATCTGTTCTACCAAGTATCTTGTAGAGACTCAGACTATGATGACAAAAAACCACCAGTAGTAGTTAATTACATCCCAGTGTTTGGGACTAGGGACAGTTCTGGGCCTCTGTGAATCTGCCTTGCTTACTGGTGCCCTCTAAGTGTTTACTAGGTAGAATGCCGCCCATGAAGACATAGGATCAGTAAGCAAGGTCAGAAAAATTCAGTGTAATACCAGTAAACACAAACATGAGATGATATTTGGAAGGGCTAATCACTGGAGCCTGGCCCATATTTCAAATGAAAATAAACTTTTTAGATGGGACTCAGGCTGGATTTATATCAAATACAAGGCCCTCCCAGTGCCCCACTTGTGAGAGCCTCTGGCTAGGAATGCTCTAGCAGTTACTCCCAGGGATGAAAAGCACATTCACCCTCCCTGGTGCAAATATTTCATATTCTGCTAGACGGTAGCACTTAGCTTTGCTGCTTTGTTTCACTGTGGAGCACTCCCCAATAAAATTGGACTGGGCCATTTTTAGAGCAATAGACAGACAAGTTGCAGGTCAGAGGCTATGATTAGAGGATAGAGAATGTAAACTAGAAGTGGTGGCAAAAAAATGGATTTAAAAACACAGAAGAAACACCTGTTCAGAAGACCAGTATTTAGACAAGAGGTTTCATTTAAAGTCTTCTGGTGAATTATATACTAACATTGCCAAAATTGCCAAAGAGCAAAGCTAGACAGATACATGACCACTGCAGCTTGCTTCCTGCAGCTCCACTTTAAATATCAGACTAGACTCTAAAAGGGTCACAGTAGGTCTCATCACTTAATCTGCTACAGAAGGTATTGTGAGCTTATCCAGCATATATCAGGCCAGCTCCCTGCACTGATGCGTATGGATTCCACTTCCCTTTTTAATAAAAGATTCATGATTTTTTTTCTTCCCTTTTGGGCCTAGTATAATGGAAAAGAAGGGTCAGTCCACATCTCTGTGTTGGAGGATTCGTTTCTACTCCTGTTCTTTCTGAGAACACTGCCTGGAAAATATGGCAAGTAGAACTCCAGAGATAATATAATTAAAGCATCCTCGAAATCAGAAACTAAACAAAAAAAAACAAAAAACAAACAAGCAAACAAAAAAAGAATAGTTTGGAAGGGATTTACTGATTTATCTGTCATTCCATCACATCTAAAGAAACCAACAAAAATCCAAAATCCACAACAAAATTCACATACAGACCTAGTTCCCTCTACTTTTAAACAGCGGAATACTCCTTTGTAACAGCATTTTTTGCACTGCATTACTAGTGAAAATCTGAGGGCAAAGAATGCTAAGGCCACACATTTGCCATTGCTTCATTGCATTATTGTTCTCTCTACATCCCAAACTCTCCCAGCTTTAAATTAATGGACTTGATTAATCTTTGTTTTAAACCTTTTTAAACCGTCTCCAACAAAGAAAGCAAATCCATTGTGGGTAACTGGCTCTTCTGTGTCCTACTGCCAGATGGTGAGGCATGAAGGTAATGGATAATATTCCTCATTCCTGAATATGGATACACAAATAGAGTGCAAAGAGCAGAACCTTTTCAGAAATTTTAGATCTTCTCTTTGTGTCCTTCTCAGTAGCACTATAACATATTGGGTCAATGGATGACATATACAATATATAAACAAATTGAGAAATTATGAGAAGGAACTCATCAGCACTTCAGGCTGTTGCGAGTACTGAAAATTATTTCAGTCAAGAACTTAACACAGAAAAATTTAGATTTGTCCCCACTGGATGTCATCATGTGCAGAATGCTCTGGCACTAGCAAGATCTTGACGCTCACCATCCAGACAATTTTAGGTTTTTTTGTTAACCGATTAGCTATTTGACACGGTTGTGCAGAGCACTCTGCTCTTGTGACCAGTGCTTACCCTGGGTAGGCAGGGATGGCCGTGGGAGGTACTGCCCGCACTGCCCCATACACTGTCCTTCCTCGGCCCCTCAGATGGGCGCCCCGAAATGCGGCGGCTGTGGTGGCTGCAGTTGGATAGGGGAAGCCTGGAACTGTGAAGATAGATAAGGTGGAAGGTGAAAAGGATACAAGTTCTGACCCAGCGAACAACCACCTGCTCCAAACAAAGTGACACAACAGCTCCACAGCGGTGGGACATTTGGCATCAATCCTGCAGAGGGACATGCTTATAACCCAGCAAGCATCCCATACATACTTCCTGCTACACCATGGCCTTTAGGGGGAGAAGGGTTGCAGAGAGGTTTGGCATGCAAGAGGTTAATGTTTTGGCATGCCTTACCCACCCCAAACAGGGCTCAAATCCCCCCACCTTTCGACACTGCCATGCAGTCTGGTTAGAGTCTGAGAAGCGCAGGGAGTTACTATCAATACAGCACGCAGTTCTTCCAAAACTGCAGAGGCTCTTTAAAATAATTTGTCAAGAGGCCCTTAAAGTCAACCAACTTACATCCGTCTCTTCCCTCCTTTCCCCTCCCACTCTTTGCCACCCAATCCTCTGTATGTTCATTTTAAAGCCTGAAAGACAAGATAGCCCATATAACAGCAGCAGCAACTTCCCATAAAGTGGCAGTTTACTGAGAGCCCATCTTCATTTAACGAGTGTGACCAACAACTGGCACCACATATAGCGATGCCTCTATTATTATTGTGCTATTAACTGAAGTAAACTGGCTCGTGATGAAACTTTGTAAAACCTCAGAGGCATCTGTCACAAACAGATACTGAGCGGGAAGGAGTCCCAGGGCACAAACCCAACCCAGCGTGCATCCAGGTGCATGCCACTAGGGGCCCTGCCGACCCACGGTTTAGCAGCTTGTATAATATGTACTTTAGGGATTTGTCCATTTGGTTTCTTCGATTTCAGAACGGGGAGGGGAGCAAGGGAATGGCCTATTCTTCACACACACCCTCCCCTTGTTCTGCAGCCTCCTTGTCGTTCAAAAGGTGCCATTCAGCACTACAGCAAGACACTGCAGATGAACAAGTTACAGCAGCTGCACTCTATGCTTTGGCTCAAGGTAAACTCATTCCCAGTAAGACCCATCCTTTCAAGTATATATTATACAGACTGGAGAGATCATCGTTAACTCAAGCACAGTGACAATACAGGGGCATTGGGGGCTACTTACTGATTAAAGGAATGTAAGTGTTAATACCCCCCCTTCCTGACAGGGGCACTGCGGCGTCATTGCCCAGCGAGACATCTGCTTGAAAGCTGGATGCTAATTTAATTTTAAAAAGAATGAAAAACAAAAACAAAACCATAAAAAGGTTATAAAGAAACAGCAGATTAAGAATATAAACAAAACCACTGCAGTTAAATGGCAGAAGTGGAAGTGTCTACTTAATCTCTACCTGCATATAACTCAGGGCCGTACACCGCTCCAACCACAGGACTCAACTTCCAACCTGAAACAACAAAGACTGCAGTGAATGCCAAAATCTACACCAAGAGAAGGAACGGGCAGCGTGGGTAGGGGGAATGGTCTCTTGCATGCGCCCCAGTTTCACATGCACAGCTCTTTCCAATTTCTGCTTTGCCTCAATCCCCCTTGGTGTAGATGGAGGCCAACTGCCTTTTCCTAATGTCAAGCTCTAGGCGCAGGTCGTTGTATCGGAGGGAACAGAGGGAACAGCAAAACATCAGCTGATCCTCAGGGGGCAGAGGCATTGCTGTGGGAATGCCAACTACCTTATATGCATATTTACCATGAGCACCATACGACCTGGCATTCCCTGCAGGAGCCTTGCTGCCAGCTCCTCCCTACTTTCACTGAGAACACTGCAGATCCAAGCCCTCCCTAAAGCCACCGGCCCAGACTGTCATCCCAGGCAAGTCAATTTACAGCCCTGAATTCTGAAAACACTCTTCTGTCTTGTCTGCTAGAGATGTGCTAAAAAGCAACAGTGTCTGCATTTTCTCATTAAATGCATTATGAAACTATAATTCATAAAACCAAATCATTCTATTCATCTCACACTTTCTCCACCCTGTTATTTTAGTATTTCTTGCCTTCTTTATGCTGCTTTTCATGTGAAAGCCTTCACAGAGAAATGATTTCAATATAATCTGGATAATTGGCAAGAACTGCAAATCATCAAGCTAAAACCTACAAGAGAATAGAGCTTAAAGAAGTATGAGTATGAGTTGGTACATATTTCCAGTCACATCTAGAATCGTATCTGTCTTTTCCCCCTCCATCTCTCTAATGGGGAAGAAAAGAAGTATAAAGCTAACAATGTGATCTGAGTTGGCTTCCATAAAGCATTCCTTTCAGGAAAGATCTCAGCTGTTCATCAACTAGCAATCACAGTGGCATTTTTATTTAAATAAAACTATACTCTTCCTCTGTCTTGGAGCCCTGGTGCACTTGCTGAACTTTTAACGCCTCTAGCCACTCTAGAAGCCATATGAACAACTATGTGAATTGCAGCCCATCAACACCACCCCTTCACCTGCTGGCAGAGTATCAATGACAGATGCAGAGCAGCCTGCCACTGCAAATACAGGCACACTGCTGCTGCACTGATCACCTTGATGGCAAAACACTCCAGTGGTGGCAATAAGAGGACTATCAACTCTCAAATTTAATAACAGGTGTAGGCAATAAGAGGACTATCAACTCTCAAATTTAATAACAGGTGTACAAACATACTTGCCAGTATGCCTTAAGCCTGGCCTAATATTAAATTCTTTTGCATAGCTTTAAAGCCGGCTTTAAACTGCTGGTTGCAAAAGCAAAATATTCTTTTTATGTTATCACTTTCAGAAGTAAGCCAAGTTTTGTTACCAAACAGTTTCATGCATGACATTTTATGCCCTTGTTTTCAGGACAATATACCATAGATGCATTGCCTTTTGCTACAAAAACTCCTAGTTCCTTCCAGGTACTGTGACCCAGAATTCCAGGCCTTTTGCTTGGCCCTGTTTCCTCAGTTCTGTACCCAAAGTAAGATTTACTTGCAGGGGACCACTCAGCAAGTCGTCGGCAGAGCAACATAAAAAATTTTTATCTTCTGAGTTTGGAGTCTTACTTTGTAATCAAAACAGATTCTCACACCAGCAACTACCTGTATGCAGCTTCCTGCCATTATGAAATTGTTTGGGAACATTTTTACACCGAAAAGAACTTTGCTGTCTGTTTCAGGACAAAGACTCAGATTCAAAATCTTTATCAAAGCAGCATTCAGTTCTGCTGGGAGAATGAGTTTTTATGCTATATATGAAGTAAAACGAATGCACAGAGAACCACCAAGATATCCCAATGAAACAGGATTCTTCATTAGCCAAACAACTTGGTCTTTCTCTGTTTAGGTTCACACGGAAAATTACTGAACACAAGCGCAGTCTGAAATAAAAAGCAAGCAAACAGGCAGCGCAAAGGCTCTGCTTTGTTAGTTGCTTGGGGACAGCTGTACTTTTATAGATAGAACCTAAACTGAAGCTATCTTAAGTTATTAAGCTAATTATGCATCTTAAGTTGTATTTCTGCATTCATATTTAGGTATTTATGTGATGTCAGTGAGACACAGGAGTACTGCACATCCCACCATACAGAATCAGCTTGCAGTAGTACGGCAGGCAACCCACTGATCCTCAGCACCTTTACCCATTTTGGCCACATTGGGCATGTCCCTGCTTCTCTCTGTCCCGACTTCTCCATCAGGAAAATGATGAACAAGACAAGACAAGAACTTTAGGGTTATACTGAAATGGTATAATGATACAAATTAGAGTATGTGGGGTTTAATTGGTTTCTTTTGGTCCTGAGAAGAGATCATGACTTTCGCCTTTTGTCTTTCTTCAAACGTTTCAGGTCATCATTAGTACAGTGTCTCTTACCATTTGCATAAGGTGTGACCATCTTCTTATTGGTCATCACTCTCGCAGTGGCATTGTTAACCTAAAAGTAAGAAAGGGGAGGGGGAGGAGAGGGAAGGAAGCACACAACGTTAGGGAAAATGGTGAAAAGCTCTCAGATACCACACACACACACACTATACTTCTCTGAGCAAAAAAAAAAAATTAAACAGCTAATTTTACATGAATGCAATCTTTAAATTACTTTTAACAGTTGCCATTTAATTATAAAAGTTACAGTTAAATTTGGCATTTTAAAATTATGCATTAAACAAAAGGCCAACAAGAGTAAAGTGCAGATTCTCCACCACCCTGCCATCCCTAGGCACAGGATTATTTACAGCCCAGTGATCGAAAGGGCAAAACCTTAGATGCTTTGTCCAGGTTCTCTTCAAGAGGCAGGAATAATTTCTGCAGCCCAGGGCAGGGAAATTGAACCAGGTAATGCACGAGCTGACTTGTTTCTCAAGCTCACAGCTGGAATTGGGGCCCAGCAGGTCACTGGCAGGACCTTGGGTAAAAAAAGGTAGCCTGGAGTCCCTCAGCATTAGATTCGAACTCCCAAGGCTGGAGGAAATCTCTGGAACATCACCAACTGTTTAGACGACCTACATTCATTGATTTACACTCACCATTTTTTGATCTTTTTCCAGATTATTTTTTTCCTTGTCATAGGTCTCATGGGACAAAAAGAATACACAGCAGCAGACTGGGATCATTTTTAGGTTTACTGTACCCTCCACCCTCTTTACAGAGCTCTGCATAGTTCCAAGCGGTTTGACTGCTCAAGCAAGTGGGGTGTTACTGCAGAGATGGTGCTAATAAAGAAAAGATGGACTAGTTTGGAAGCCAAGTTACTGCAGCCCCGTGTCAGCCTCAAAGCTCTTGCAAGGAGTGTGAAGTCTTTATGTATCATCAATAATTTACCAAAACCCATGCCAAATGGGAATGGAGGCCAAGGTGAAGAAGAAAAAGAATGGATACAAAAATAGAAGCTGCCTCGGGCCCTTGAGATGTATGGATGGTGGGCGTACACAGGGTGGGGAGTCCAGAGCTACATTTTACTCCTGTTTCAGACCCAAAACAATAGAAACATTACACATTTAAAAAAGAAAGAATGGGAAACAACAATGATGAGACTGAGGGCATGCAGTTAAACACACACAGATAATAAAAAGAAAGAAAAAAAAACACACCACAATTGATTCAGAGGGTGGGGAGGAGTGAGGGGATAGGGTCTCACAGACAATCATTAGATGGAGCGAGTGCCTGAAATCAGCTGCTACAGCAAAGTGCAACACAAGCACTTAAAGGAAAAATTGCCAGAACCAATCAGAAACCACCATCAGCAAAGAGACCAACAGCTGCATTTAACTTAGTAAAGAAATAAACTGGGGAGGGGGCAGAAAGAAAAAGATAGAAAACAAACAGTAACAGCTACAAACAGGTCTCAGATAGAAAGAGCAGCAGAAAGGGGCAAGAGAGAGAGAAGAGGAAATGGGTGCATTAATAAAAACCAGCCAAACTGGAGTTCAGTAACTCTGAGTAAGATGTGCAAGGGGAAATCACCATGAAGTCAGTAATCAAACAGCTCAGACTGCTACAAAACAATATGTACATCCAAAGTCCAGGCGGCATTACTCAACAGCATTGAAAATAAAAGGGGGAGAAGGGGAAGGAGGTGGGTGGGGACAACAAGTCAAATCACATTTCATAGTGTTAATGTGAGATGGCAGATGGATTTTTTCTTTCTTAATTTTTTTTTGTAATTTTAAGAAAAATTTAAAAAAAAAAAAGAAAAAGTTTCTTCTCTAGCACTTTTGTTTCACTTACCGCCAACTCGTACCATCGCCAGCATTGTGTATAGTTACCATGGAAAGAGTGAGTCAAGTGAAGGGCCCTAAACGCTAAACCATCGGAAAGGGAAATAAAAAAAAAACAAAACAGAAAAAAAAAAAAAAAAGGCAAAATATGCAGACATCTTACTCAAAAACGGCGGCTTTTTTTGTTTCAATATTTGTACTTTTTGGTTTGTGTTTGTTTTTGGTTTTTCTTTTTTTTTAAAGAAAGAAGGAGAGAGGGATGATGCCAGTTAGCCTTCAACACAGTGGAACACCAAACTGGTCAACACCAGGCATGCCCAACATATGGCCATGATGGCCAGCCAACATTAACCCTTCCCTCCCCAGCGGCAAGAGCTAGCAAATTTTTAGGATTAGCTTTCACCATACCTATTCTTGACCATGGGAAGATCAAGAAACCGGCAGTGTTTATAGAACAACCCACTTGGGGCTGCTGCCCCATGTGTCCCCACCCCTCCCACAGGCATCATCTCACACTTGCATGGAGGAGAACTGGCCTCAGAGGAAAGAGAGGATACTGGCTGGCCCCCTGCTTTCTTTTTTGGACACAGAGTTAGAAGGTGGACAGTACTCTTTCAGTTAGTTTTGTTCAGGCCTGGTAACAGGAAATCGGAGCCTCGCAAACTGAAGCAAAGGAAAAATCAAGACAGCAGAAGGGCAAAAATTTGGAGTGGGTGGGAATAAAACTTAATAAAAGAAGAAAGAAAAGGAAAAAAAAAATACCCAAAACAACAATAAAAATATTCTGTAAAGGGTGTAAACTTCTATACATTTCAGTGCAGGGAGGTGAAGGACACAGACACAAACACACACGCACACACGAGACTGGGATCCAAATGTGAAATAAGTGAGGCAAGACACAAAAAGAAATCAAAAGGATAAATATAAAGAAGAAATTGAATTACTGAAGACATGCACCTCGATTTTACGGCCCTCTACCACGGTGCCGTGTAATTTCTCCCTGGCCCTGTCTGCATCAGCACTATTCTCGAAAGTTACGAACCCGAATCCCTGCATGCAGCGGGAGAAGGGGGGAAAACATGCACATCGTTATATATTGAAATATTGATCTCTAGGTAAATAGAGAAAAAATATCACAGTATGAAATCGACATCAGCACAACTCAGCAATAACCTCCTAGAGTCACATTGTTGGTTCATGCATGTTTCATAAATGAAAGAAATTAAAATCAATAAAAAAGGAACTGTAATCATAATAAGAATAATAAGAGTAATTAAAAAAAGAAAACATAAAAGCAATTGAGGCCAGACCAAAAAAGACGTACAGAGTTACTCGAGACAATTTTTCATTTTGGTTTGGTTTTTTGTTTAAAAACACTAACCCTGCTCTGACATAGGCAAGCTGGGCAAGCCCAAATGGAGCTTCTCTCCCATCCTAATGAACACATAAATTTTGCAGGACCCCCGCCCACCCCAGACACAGTACAGGACATCAAAATTGAGCAGCACTTTGTTCTTTTGGGAAACCGCTATGAGAGTGAGCAGCAATCTGAGTTCACGCCTGGCACCAGGAATTCTGTGAAGCTTTGGGCAAATCAAACACTGAACCTTGCTTTTCACACCTGTAGAATGGAGACAATAATAATTACCTACCTTAGAACACTGTTGAGAGGAAGGGTTCTTTGTAAAGCATCCCTTGTAAGCTCTTCAGGGAACAGCTCATGTCTACTCCTAAGCCTGTAACTTCCCCAATAATACATGAGGCCCTGAAAGTAAGGAGGGCTTCTAGGTGGCACCATAAAATAAGCATAATTAATGTGAAGATTTAGAGTATCACATACTGTAGTTCCAAAATATTCTTATCTCTGAGTATTGTGGTAGACTTGACTGTAAATCTGAACACCTAAATACTGATTTATTGGTTAAGGCAGGTTTTGTATGACACTGCTGACCCTCTGCTACCTCCCTCTCCCATCCTGCTACTCATCTTTCTCGGCTTTGTTCTGAGTGGCAACCTCTGTGCTGTGGATGGCAACAGACTTCTGCCTAGTTAGACCATGAAATTTCTAGAAAAATTGACATGCCCTGCTTGGAGCAACCACAAAGGCTCAAGGACTGCCAAAATGTCACTTTAGTCAGATAAATTCAGGTTTAGCACACCCATGAAGGCACAAGCAACATACGCCTGTCCCACACATGCTCATGCTGCTGCCAGCTCATGCAGTAGTGCAACAGGGCAGGGTAGGAGACTACAGAGATGAGTGCACTGACATTAAGAGAAAGCCAACATGACAAAATGAATTAGGATTTTAACTAGGAGCAAATGGCATCTTAATACAGACAACTGTGACGAGATACTCTTCATGCCATTAGAGAGAGAGGATCCAAACAAAAAGCATTGTTGCATTCTGCTTTCAGGATATCTTAATAACAGCAATAACTGGCTCCTGTGGCTTGGTATAAAGCAAATACTGCTTTCATGTACAAACAGTAATCTCCACCGGCTCCAGTACCCTCAGGAGCAGAGCAACAAAGCTTGCATTTGGTGCAATGGAAATCCCTCCCGACGGTAATTGAAGAGTGAGGTGATGGGAGTGATCTGCAGCTATGGCTATTAGGGAAGGGGCATGCTAGTCAGAAACCTCCTTCATGCACCTTGAGGTCAGTATGTATTGGACTGGACAGTCCGAAAGACAGATAGCATCTTTATTTCTAAGCATTGCTAGCAATGAGACACAAGCAAGCCATTATTTTTCAAGCGCTTTTTAGAGGTCTTTACAATACTAATCTTGAACAGCCTAAGCTGTTTAAGTGACGAGCTAGCCTTTATCATCCACACCTAGATTTCCAGCAGAAAACTGCTACAAATTTGTAAAACGCAGGGTGGTGGTTGTTGGGCTGGGGTAGGGAAGGTTTACTTCTTTTTTCTCCCCACCAAATAGCAAAAATAAAGGATCTTAGCCAAGCACTGCAATGCTGAGATCAACGAAAGCGCTCCTTTGGGCTCCAAACCAATAATCTAAAGCTTCAGATAATTTCATTTCTCCAGCTATAAATAAAGAGCTATATAAATAACAAACTGATGCCTTTTTCAGAACAGCATAGAAGTTCCCTGTTTAAATGAATTAAAATCAGAGCTACAAGACATAGAGGCTAATAAAACAGCCCAACTGCATATAACTGTCAAATATGTTGCAGAGAACTGAGGGGGGTGCAGGGGGTGTAATAGCAAAGCTGATTATGAAGGAATAGGGTATTGTGTCTGCTTCAAAGAGCCACTACAGAGAAAGGTAAGCCTGAGAAATAGAGCAACACCCTTCCCTCTGGTTCTGTATAATAGGGAAAAAATATCCTTTAAAGGTTGGGGGAGGAGAGGAGGTAAGGACTACTACAGGAATCTCTATTTCCCTCTTCTATTTTTGCATTAAAATTTCTGTTTGTTCTAGACAAGCCTGTGGAGACCAAATGAAATTTATGTCTTCAGTGATGATGTGAACTGAAAGCTGGAGTGCAGATGGAAAGTAATTTTTTAGACATTAATCTGTGCAGGCTAGAACTAAACTAAGACTATTTTAATTCACATCTGTTTGCAATTAGTAAAGTCTGTATGGGATTTTAAAAAAACTATATTATCATTAAATATCTTTAAACTGAGTAGGAATTTTCAGTATTAAGTTAACTTAAGGCAGCATACAGTCCACATGCAGACTATATGAATATAATTAACAATGTGAATTAAACCAGAATTAATCTGATTCAGAACAACATAACTAATTAACCATATTTTATTGACAGATCAGCCTTAGCTTCTGCAGCTCTTTGTTGAGCACCATTTAATGTCAACGCTGAATTAATGCTTCACATAGTTGACTATGGCAGTTAGTATTTGTGTCCTCTTGGTTTGTCATATTAATGCATCTCTTAGACAGTCAAATTTTAATTAAGAAAAAAAGGTGAGCCACATTTGACATTTGTTATTTCTAAGTTTAAAAACTAGCAATTAGATAGATATATATATACACACATTTTTGAAGTGGGAGAGAAAAAAGAACATACATATATTTTTTATTCCTTCTCACAGATGACCTGTAAAGAATAGGGATTAATTTGTACCTAAATACAAATGCAACAAACAGTTGTCAGTTTTCCCTCAGCAAGGTTGTCTTGACCTTGAAAGAAAAAAAGAAACAAAGAAGAAAAAAAAAAAAAAAGATGGGGCAGGTATCCAATATTAACTAGCTTAGTTTTATAGCAGGTACTGGATTGCTCCATAGTAATAGGTATGGAGCCAGAGGAAGGGAAGATCCTGGACGAAAAAAATACTTAGGTTTTCTAAAATTTAGGTTATACACATAATTTGAGTTTAATAATGCTGTTATGATAACAAGGCTGAAATTTTCAACAATTCCTCCCCACCAGCAACTATCATGAACTTCTCCCATGCAGAAAGTAAGTAACCCAGCGAACACTTAATTCCAACAAGCACTTTTAGGACTGGTGAGTAATTTGCAGTACCAGACTAACCCCTTTTTACCCAAAGGTTTATTGAAAGGGCCTGAAGAGACCGAGTAACTGTCACCCTTTTAGTCTGGCCTCAGATTCTGCAATAAATAACAAGCAACATGATGAGCAGTGAAAAAAAATAATAAATGTATATATATATATATATATATAGTATTTGAACGTTTCCATCTCTGAAGAATGAGAAAGAAAATTTACCATGTAACCGTAAAGGGAGAAATCAAAACCAGACGGTTCTCCTGGGTGTGGCCAGAACACAGAAATTAAACAAAAAACAACAACAAAAATAAAATAAAGTAAAATAAAAAAAAATAAAACCAAAGAAAACTAAACAGAGCCCCTTGAAATCCATGCATTGTTAACCCTTCGTTCGTCATGGAGTTTAGACCAGTCACCTCAGCAGCGTCTTTGCCTTGTACCACTGGAGCACACAGCCAGCAACCAGTCTTGCTGTCACCTACTGCTGTGTTTGTTTCTAACCAAGTTTTTTATGTCTTTTTTTTTTTCCCCCGCTTATTTCCATAATAAACTTTTAGAAGCCTGAAAAAAATGGCCAGAGGCAGCAGTTTAGGCTACCTGTTTCTAAGGCATTTGGAAAGAGTAGGAAGGTTTCAGCTATAATCCACCTGAGATGAGCAGGACTGAATGCACCGACAGCAACACAGCACAAAACCCAGAAACAAATTATTGAAGTCACACACACAAATGCACCCTTCAAGTTGGTGAAAGTATGTGTGTAAACCAAGCTGTCACCATTTCAGCAGCTCTTCCAGCTCCTCCCAGCCCCGTGCTGGGCTTTGCATTAAGGCACAGAAATGTGTAGAACCTGTCCATGTACCTGTGCAATCTGGTGAGTCAGATGCAGGAATCAACCTGACTAAAAAGAAATAAATGTAAGAGTATCTTCCAAAAAACCTGCAGGGTTATTTTTAAGCTCTCTCATGTCCACGATCCAGCTTGAGCTGCTCCACTGCCAGTCCCTGCTGTGAAACAGCAGAGGGGGCAGAGGCCAGCAGTGAGGAGTGGGAGTCCAGCCTGCACTGATGGGCAACGAGAGCCTGGGGCTTCAGAGCAGCTCCAGCCAGCTCAGGACAGGGGCTTCACGGCCCCCAGTCATCCCCAGGTGTGTGCTGCTCCTCCTCCCTCCTTTACTGATCCTGGATCTCACTGCGTGGTCTGTGAGTTCAACAGGCTGAAGACAAGCTCATTTCTTTCCCTGCTGCATCGGTGTCTTGCTAATTTAGCACCTAGATAGTGAAATGAGCAGTGCTGGAGAAGTACTCCCACAGGAACAGTGGATCAGCTTATACTATGACACCATAAACTTCAGCCTGAAATTCAAGTTTAAATAAATCAGTTCAGTGTATGGACTAATTGATCTCTCTAGTTCAGTACTGCAAGACTTCAAGGCCCAAAACCACTGAACTAGGATAAAGAGACACTGGTCATGTCTTCTTCATGCCACTGGCATCCTAAAGGAATTTGGTAACCTGAGAAAGTGACACTGGTCACCAGTACTTAATTTGTTTTTAAACCTCATTGTATTAATAACACTGCTTGTACTTCTGGCTCAACTGATGAAACCTGAACAAAAATTATAAAAATAGAATTAAAATGAAAACAAGATTTTAAATTCATTTTATGTAATAAGGGGATTTCCCCTGAGTGGAAACTAGTTCCAGAACAAGAGTGGTCAAACTCAAAGCACCTAATCCGTTTAAGGAAGACATAAATGTACATGCAAACTTACAATCTTTAAGGCACCATTATCAAAACCTATATTCATGTTCTTATCTTAACCTACAGTTAACTGCAAACTTAAAAATCCACAGAGCTTCCACACAAGTTTTTAGTTAGCATAGGTTTACTTACATAATACCAAAAACCAACAGATGCAATTTTTCTCATAACCCACTATACAACTAATTTTTAAAATAAATATGAAGCACTTCTAGGCACTATAGTCTTATATAAGAACTTGGAGATCTGGGTCTCCCAAGTGGAAATCAGTGAGAGACATAAACTTACGGTATCCTGAAACCATGAGCTCCTCTCATTAATATGAAGTCTTATCATTTAAAAGCTACCCAAAAAAAGTGTCCAAAAACCCACTCCCTATTTAGCCAAGATTTTGCTGTGTGCTTACATACTCCTGGTCCCTGAATGTCATTGAGGGCACATCTTGGAATGCCACACGGTACACAGCTGGTGAGCAAAGAGCTTGGATTCCTTTCCCCTGCAGTTTTACAAATGCCACAGGGTACTCATTACACAGGCAGACTGCATTAATTCTGCAAATATGTCCACTTGTTCCATTCAGCACAATAGTGGCAAAATACACATCTAGAGGATGCGTCTCCACTAACAAAAGGAGCAGGAATCCTCTTGACTTCCTCTGGAGGTGTTTTTTCAAGGTTCAGTGAAGTACATGGTAAACTGCAACCATGAGCAGAATGCTATTTAAAGCCACTTATACCAGGCAGAGCTAGAAATGTAATGGTAAACAGGATAAATGAAACAAACAGCTAGTTTCCTGGAAGCAAGCAAAAAAGCCAAACACATCAAGGGAAGACTGATGTTATTCTATTAAACAAGAAGAAAACAAAATGTAATTCAAGGAATATTTAAGGTTTTTATCTTGTTTCTCACACACAGTAAAGCAGTATCAGTGTGAGGTCTACCAGGGCCAATATATTCCTACTAAACAGGCTGAAACTGGGAAGAAAGCGAGTTATTAAACAAGAATTCACACTGCTTTTGAGAGAAGAATCAGCAAAACTCATTAACTGCCTCCTATGCTACCGTGATAGAGAAAGTCAACAGACACCCTTTCTGAAAGAAACTGAGGTGTGCGGTGGCTGTGATGGAGACGCACCCAGCTCTCTCTTTGGTCACCAAACTTTGTAAGCACACAGAGATCCTGAAGATGCAGCCAGTTTGATGGAGCTTCCCCAGGCTGTCGAAGAAAACTGCCTGGTCATCTCAGGTGGATTCAAAATGAAGAATGCTACCTGAATGCCTCCTCCAGTCCCTCCTACTGACCAGCACTGGAGTGATGCCAGTAGAGTTCTCCCGCCACAGCTCGGCGGGGACAAAGCGCTGCTCAACCCCATCATACACTGGGTGGGGGCAAACCCAGGGCAGTTTGGGATTTACCACTGTACCTTTAAAATATTTACAAAACATATACACAAAACACTACAACCCTTAGGAACCCAGGGAAGGGAAGGGAGCATTGAGAACACAGCACAAGGCAGGCAGCAGGAGCATCTGCTTTCGGATTCCCAAGAGAGAGGAGGAGGAGAAGAAAAGAGAGGTTTCATATCATTAGATTAGAATGGAAACCACAGGGCAGGAAAATGCATTCAGATTTTTTTTCCTAAGGTGGAGGAAGAACCCAAGAGTGAGTGAGTGGCCTCCAGAAAGATCCATTTCCTTTGCTTCACCATCAGATCACCAAACTGTTGTTTTTCCATTATTATGTGAATACCAGGTGCTTCGTGCAGCTACACCCCACTCAAACACTGGGGCCTCCCATTTTCATGCTAAGCAGAAAGAATCTTGCATTCTTTTTAAAACAGGAATTATTTTGGGTGAGAAGGATGCAAAGATACCATGAAATAACTCTTTGGCTGTTTTCTCATTCTGTTCAGATTCTGGACATCCCTCAGTACAGGCTACCAGTTTTGTAACTGCTTTTTGCTACAAGATGACAAAAAAGCAGTAGAAAACTGCATGGTTAATAAAGACTAGAAGAACATCTCTGGTTTTTGTTTTTTTTTTTCAAATATTTATTAAGGGTTCAGATTAACATTCATCAAGGAACTCTTCAGCAATAACTTTTGTTTTAACTGAAAACCAGAAGCCTTGGGCTTTAGCAACAGCACAAGAAGGTACTTTTCATAGTCATAAATCCAGTCTTCACTGAAAAGCCTTCAATGCCAATGTTGCCAAGAAGGGAAAGGGCAGCTGTGGGCGTTTAATACACAGGGCTGTATGGATGGGAGAGAGAGAGAGAGTGAAGTTCATGTGTGAAGAGGAAAACACTGCTCTGCAAAGTGCAAGCAGCGAGATATGAAGAACATTTTGCCAGGCCAGTTATTTTTGTTCTTTCTTTTGCAATTATATCTGAACAAGTAGGGATTTGATAAGAGGCCAGAGGCTACTCTCAAAACCAAACAATAATGACTAAAATCAAGAGTAATTCACAGGTAGCTTTGGCCTATAAATATCACAAGAACGGCAGAGCGCAGAATAAATATTTACAAATTCAGCACAGCTGATTGTTTTTGGTAAAGCATATAGAGTTTTAACCATACAGGGAAGTAAAACTCTAACTAAACCATATTAGACATTTACTTGTTCAGACTGTCTCGTTAAAAAAACAAAATAAAAGAAAACCATGGTTTTGAGCAGAAACAGAGGATGAGGGGAAAGGACTAAAATTCATGTCTTTTATATACAGATCAATGGCTTTCTGGTTTCCAGATAATACAGGACTGAAGAATTTCAGAATGCATCTTGGGCAACATGGGTGGAAATTTGCAGAGGGCTCTGAATATGAACATACCCCAGAATATATATACAGAAGCAAAGAGGCCACCATAAAAACTGTGGACCTCAAACCCAAGCAAAAGGCATAGACTATAAACCAAAACTGCTTAGCTGAATTGCAACTTCAAAACCTTTTGTGTGCATGCACACATGTGCACACACGTGTGTGTGAGAAGGAGGGAAATTTTGTTTTAATTGAAAATTGGAATCTTAGCATTGATTAAGTCAAGCAGAGTATAGACATGCACTGTGCAAGCTTCCCCCATAGAGCTTTGGCAATGCACCTTGCTCCTGACCTGCAAAACTCCCTGCTATTCCAGTGCTGAACCTCCTGGGCAGAGAGAGAATCACAGCAATTTGTCATTGTGGTGATACTGGTTACGTGATGAGAACCAACTGCCAATTAGGACAGAGATCACTGAATCTCTCTGCAGCTGACCTGAGCAACATTTGAAATCTCATCTCCACAGATATAAATTACTATAAACCCTGAACAAAACTTGCCTTTTAATATATCTGTAAGAAGAAAATAGGAGTGTGAATGCAAATTCTGTGGGGGAGGTCCATATGGGGCAGGGCAAGTGGAATGAGGATGCTTATATTACAGCATCAAATATCTCAAACATGAAAGTTCAGTATCTCAGAAGTGCCAAGTAAGTCAGCAAAACACTAAATAAAATCCTTTCACATATGAGATATGAGAGTTTTTCTACAGAAGTAGTTTAATGGAATGAAAACGGCAGGGATGGGGGTGAGTTTAGCTTTTGTTCTTACAGTCTCCCATCACACAAAGCTGTTTTACCTTATTCTGCCTTCCTCACAGGGCAGCTCTTGCCAAAGCAATGGGAATGGGCTGGTGTGAAGGCTCAGGTGACCCTGTTTGTTCAAAAGGCTGGGGAACCTGATCCCACCAACAGACAGGAGTGTCTCTGAGCATTTGTACATGCTGCCCAGAAATGACCATGCTCAGAGAATCTCGAGTCAGAGGGAAGAGGAGACAGTCTCCAAAATAGCTTTTCCCTTCCCCCATCACACTAATTCCTGCTGATCTCTACAGAATATGTTCTCTAGGCAATGAACTGCCTTTTTACTCTGCAATCAAAACAAGAGAAGTGGGTACAGAAACAGGACTTACCTTCGAGCCACGCTCATTAAAGATTATCTCTACATCAAGGATTTTGCCGAATTGCTGCAGAAAGACAAGGGAAAAGAAAAAAACAAAAGATTTATTTTTGGCGGTCCATTTTTCCTACCTTTTGTGGGAGCTGGCTTAATGCAAAAAGGTAGGTGAGAATACTTCCATTTCTAGCATATAGGCAAAGGCATAAAATTCCAGTGACATGACCCAGTTCTCCTGGGTTAAGACATGCAGATTGCCTGGGTCACAAACTGAGTTTTCTCACAAAACTCTAAAGGAAGAAAAACACAATCTCCAGAAGAGTTTTAGGGATTTGAGGAAGCTCATCTTTCCCCTGTTAATCTAAACAATTCTTCCTTCCCTCGTTCTACTATTTCATCTAAGACATGGTTCTATGATTTCATCTCAGATATCCAACAACATTTCTCACATATAATTCAGCATTTCAGCTTCCTCCTGAAGTGGTTATCACAAAGAGAAACTTAACAGTGATGTTTCTCTGGAAGGGATAGTAACATAAGACTCCCAGCCTCAGGGATTTCAAACACCAAAGCTTGTTTCCTTCCCTTTATTTTCTGAAACTCCAAGCCTACAAAAGAATTGATGGCAGATTCAGAAACCATGAAAATGGAAAATTCCCAACAGTTTGTTTTTCAGAAAAAGATCATTCAACTTCAACCTGTGATATAGTAGGTGGTCAACAACCTATGCAAGTTTATTACACGTAATAGAATTCTGATGTCTGCCTCAGCCTAGAGACCCCAAGGAGAATTCTGCACTGAAAGGGCTCCAAAGAGCTCCCTATTTAGCACAGAAGGAGAGTTACCACCTCTGTGGAACCATGTATGGGTTACTTCTTTCCCTGCTAGGAACATATTAAAATATTTTACTGAAGCAGTCGGACTCAAAACAGTAGCCTAGAGGTAAAAGAATCACCACTTCAACAAGGCCCACAGTGCTCTGTCCTCCAGAAGTGTCAGTGCTCTATTTCCAAACTGGAGGTCTGCTCTCTAGAAAGACAGGTGCAGATGTCGTTCTTAGGAATGTGTATATCGAGCAGTCTTCATTCTAGAGAAATATACTCACATACTGCACTCAGACAAATGCTATACCAGTTTTTCCTATCCTATTACTTAGGAAAGTTTCCATCAACATGGTTTTGATATAAGTTTGATAGCTAATGAAGGAAGGGTCAACAAGAAAATAAAGGATGGTTTCACAGTTGAAAAAGATGATGAACACAAGGTTCAGGCACTGGGACACTCTCCCCCTTTGCCAAGCATTCTTAAAATACTATTTGCCTTTTTTTCTTTAACAGTTGCATTCAGAGTCAAATGGGTAGAATATTCATTTTGTGGATGCCCTTCTTGAAAGGCTTGTGGCCAGATTTGAAAACCTGGAACATTTACAGCAGACATCCATGATGGCTGAGGAGAGGCTCTGAATATGTTAAGCAATAAAAAGTTGCCAAGTCCCTTGAACAAGTAGTATTCCACAATTGTCTGCAAGCAAACAAAATGCTTCCAAACAACTTCAGCTATAGTTTCTGTCTGCTTGCCTTCTCCATTCTTAAAAAGGAGATCTTGGTTCACAGATGTTGTTTTTACTGTTCTATTGTTTAAGGACAATACTTGATCCTCTATTCATCCCAAGAACAATTGAATTCACAACATCCTACTTACACAAGTTTGAATAACGCTAATGTAAACATGCATCTTCCTTGGAACCTCAACATCTCAAAACAGCTTAGGCTTGATCCATGCTGGTTCCTCTTTTGACCGCTTCTCTGCCAATCACAGCTAAGATACGTTTCCTATTTCTATCCCACACTTGGTGTGGGCTTGTCAATGAAGATTAACTGTTGATTGCTTTTTGTTGTCTTTGTTGGATACAGCTTTGGTACTGCCATGAAAGGAATCAGTCATGATTGTCATGATTGCTTTCTTGGTAGACTGTCTCAGCATCCTTACATGACTGGGGCTGAACCAATTTTAGCAGCTTGTGGCTGCTGAAGGGCTGTCCCTGCTCCTTTGTCTTTCCTTGTCTGCTCTCACCAGCCTTCCAGAGGTGGCCTCAGTTTTCATTCTCACCTGCAGATAAACTGATACAGCTCAGCAATCCTGCAAAAACCTAGTCCAAGAAAAGAAATATATACAAAGATTCTGACAACTTACTAATCTGAAGTGGCTTGAAGGGTCAGTGAGCATTATGGCTTGAAGAAGCAAAAGGGAAAGGAAAACAGCACACCCTGCCCAAGAGCAGGATCTGTCCCCTGCCAGATCAGCTCAGCTGTCTAGCCTTGCCACACACACTGAAACACCCAGGCTTCTCAATAAATGCAAATGCCAAATTTATTTTCATAATCTTCAAAGTCATCAAAAATCACCATTTTTTATCTCATTAGAATCATCTTGAAAGAGAACAGACTGTGTGGCTTCTGTGCGGTGCACAATTACACCGTGCCGTCCTGCCCTTTCCCTTTCTGCACACCCAGCCTGGATCCTCAGGCATTGCTGCCAGTGCTGCCTGCCAGCCCTGCTGGGCTGAGCTCCCCGTGCAGGGCTTCCACACCATCGGGAAACCCTGTCCTGTGCGTTTAACTTCTCGTGGCTGACAGAACGCCGGCGGTGACACTGAACGTGAGAAGTCTGACCTAGCTGTACAAGAGGTGCCATGGCCCTCCCTGCCTAGGAGATGATGGAGGTACGTCGTTTCCTAGATGACAGAATTAACAGCCTGTGGTCCCAGCAAACACAGGCTTGACATCTACTGCAATGGGCTACAACCACCCATGCAAACTGCCCCAATCTCTTTTCTACCCAGCAGTTGTGGGTGTTTGAAAAGGCAAGAGGAAAGGACCTCTTTGGGAGAGAAGAGCAGAGACAATGGTGGCTGACTGATGAATGGAGGTTTGCTGGGGAGGGATTCCCTGCTCTATGAAATTCCCTGAAAGAAAACAGAGCTGTGAGGCGGAAGGACATGTGCTGAGCTCTTCAAGGCTCTGCTGCAGCCATTGCCACAGCTCCTAACATGACATCTCTTGTACCCACAGCTGTAATGGTTACAGCAGGTTCCAGCACTGGAAGGCACTTTTTTTGGTAGCATGCCAAAATTTTCCTGAAGAATGAAAGCAGGAAAAAAAGAACTAGTTCATTTTAACAGTTTGTAACTCCTTCAAAGCTGAATCGAATTTAGCAGAACATAAAAAGGCACTTTGTTCTCTGATGGTGCTTCGCCTACCAAATGTCAACAGTCTATGGCAAACAATTGAAGTTTTAAGAGCTCCTTAGTGAAAGGTCACCATTTTGTATGGGAAATGCTAGGCCATCTAAATACAAGGGTCAACACCAAGTGCCCTCATAATAATTTTTAAAAATCATGTACATACAGGCATGTTTGTATTTTTCAAAAGACACAGGGACTAGCCAAATAAAACAAGCCCCATGCTTAAGTCATCCATGAGGACTAACTCTCTAATCTCTAACCTTGAAGACAAGAATCACTGTGCTCACAGACTTGGTTGGCTCACTCAATGATTACCAAGAACTTCTACTTAGAACTCTGCACAGCCTCTGGAGAAGGTATTGCAGGACTACCCATCTCCAATGCCTCCCAACATGATTTAGAAAGCTTACTGTGAGACCAAGAGGCCAGCATTCCCTACCATGTCAGGTCATGCAAGAAGCCACCTCCATTAACTGCTTATACACATCCCATGTGATGGGAAGATACACAGACACATGCTATTCCAATCGTGCCATGGCAAAGGAGCTATAGAATCTTGTTTTATCTTAATGGCCTCTTCCCTGGAGAGAACTTGACAAGCTTTCAGGTATTTTTAGTAAAGCAGATAAATGAGAATCAGACCCTCTACAATGGTAGCAGGGAGTGCTGGAAGTAACAGCTTTTAAGAGGCATAGATATGAACAGGCAGGAGTTGCAACCAGAAACTCATCTTGCTTGAACACGATCTACCAGTGCAAGGGCATTGTGCAAGGAAAGATATGCATGCTGTGTGTTTCTTTTCACACAGATGTCATGAAGGCAACAGATTTTTCCAGCTGAGGCCATAGCTACATTAAGCATAATAAATTTGAGAGATCTGGCACCAGAAAGCTTTTGTCTTCCAAGGCACTGACAATTTGGTAGGGCCCCTCCTATATGCTCTGTTCCAGCTGGCCCTGACTCTTGTCCCTGTCTAGACCTTTCAAAATCAGCTCCAAAATGTGCCAGACAAATAACTTAATCCTAAAGATGCAAACAACAGGGAATATAAGGCAAATTCTCTAGAAATCATGAACAACAAAAGATAATGAGAGACATCATGTGACAACCTCATCCCTACAAGGGAACTCCGTATGTCCAAGCAGTTTAGTTAGCCCTACAAAATTCACTTAGAGATGAGTCCAATGAGCTATCTAAAATTCAAAGGTGTCAAACAGTCTATTCTTAAAGATGGCCAACATCCAAAATAGCCAAGAAATTGACATCCTGTACAGGAAACCAGGATGTATGTGAGCAAGAGCATTTTATAAGTAGGACAGACTCATGCTATAGAGAAAGTCCTTTCCCTAGGTCCCAGCTCCATGGGATATACTTTCAGCTGCACACAACTGGCTCCATCATAGTGTGTATTAGTCAGTGCTTAGTTATGGCAGCATGGGGTCTGCCAGAACTACACTATCAGCACACCAACTTCCTCACCCAAAGCTGAGTCACATCTCTTCAAGCAATGGGGCCAACCCTGGTCAGCTGAGCTACACTGCTATGCTTTTGTGACAGAAAGATGGAAGCATCAAGGATTTATAAACCAAAGCATTACCACAGATAACGAACAAGCACCAAGTAGCCCTTACTAGGGTGGAGCTGCTGTCCAACAAAACACATTTTCTGAGAAACCAGACTCTAACAGGAAGTCACACAAAGAGTGCAGATTTCTAACAGGATTTACAGACCACAGCCATCCCAGAAAAAAAAAACAAAACAAAACACTATGATGAACACAGCTTCTCAGTCATTTGTTGTTCTCTAAATCCCAAAAAAAAGATTTT